CTGTTTTGATTACTTTTGCTTTGTAAAAAGTTTTGAAATAAGGAAGTATGAGTCCTCCAACTTTATTCTTCTTTTTCAAGATGGTTTTGGTTACTTGAAATTCTTTGAGATGCCAGCCATATGAATTTTAGGATGGATTTTTCTATATCTATAAAAATACCATTGGGATTTTTATAGGATTGCACTGATTATGTAGTTTGGTTTGGGTGGTACCAACATCTTAACAATACTGAGACTTCCAGCCTATGAACACAGAAGGTCTCTCCATTAATTTGTGTTTTCTTTGCTTTCTTTTAGCAATGTTTTATAGTTTTCAGTCTCTCATCTCTGTGGTTAAGCTAGTTTTTAAGTATTTTCATCTTTTTGATGCAACTGCAGATGAAATTGTTTTCATAATCTTTTTCAGACAGTTCATTATTTGTATACTAGAAATGCAACTGATTTTTGTGTGTTGACTTTTTAAATGTTTATTTATTTATTTTGAAAGAGAGAGAGAGAGAGAGAGAGAGAGAGAGAGAGAATCCCAAGCAGGTTCTGCACTGACAGAACCATGAGATCATGACCTGAGCCAAAATCAAGGTCAGATGCCACCCAGAAGCCCCTGCATGTTGATTTTGTATTCTGCAACTTTTCTGATTTCCTTTATTAGTGGTTCTAACAGTTTCATTTGTGTGTGTTTGTGGAATCTTTAAGGTTATCTATATGTGAGCTCATGTCATCTGTGGACAGAGATAAGTCTTTCATTTCTTTTTCTTGCCTAATTGCTCTGGCTAGATGTGGTACTATGTTGAATAGAAGTGGTGAAGGCGGACATCGTCTCCTTTTGGAACTCCACCCACAGTGACACAAAGTTTAGATCTTTTGTTATGGTCCCACAGGTCTTAAGACTATGTTCCTTTTACTAAAAAAAAATTACTGGAGGGGGGTGCCTGAGTGGCTCAGTTGGTTAGTGTCTGACTTTGGTTCAGGTCACGATCTCACTGTTGGTGAGTCCCAAGCACTGCATCAGGCCATCTGCTGTCAGCACGGAGCCTGCTTTGGATCCTCTGTCCCCCTCTCTCTCTGCCCCTCCCCCATTCGCTCTCTTTCCCTCTCTGTCTCAAAAATAAATAAACATTTAAAAAACTTGAAAAAAAAAAAGAAAAATTACTGGGGCATCTTGCTGACTCAGTCAGTAGGGAGTGTGACTCTTGATCTCAGAGTGGTGAGTTTGAGTCCCATGTTGGGCATAGGGATCACTTAAAAAGAAAAAACGAGAAAATGATTTTCCCCTTGTTCAAGTTAGATCATTTTATTAGCTACTGCACGCTTGCTGGCCCTTTCCTCTGTATTTTCCACTCTGCTGCTGCCCTCGACCAGGGTTATTTTTGTCGTTTGCGGACTTTGTTATCGTATCTTTAATGTCTAAAATTTCCAGTTGGTTCCCCTTCATCTTTTTTTCATGTCTTTGCTGAGATGTTTTTACTTCTCCCATTTGCTTACAGAGAGCTTGTGATTGCTTGTTGGAGCATTTATATAACTGCTTCAAAATCCTCGTCAGATAATTCCAACATCTGTGTTGTCTCTGTGCTGGTATTTGTGGATTATCCTTTCTTATTTGAGTTGAGATTTTCTTGGCTCTTGTCATGAGTCGTTTTGGATGGTATCCTGGGCATGTGGAGTAGAAGGTTATGAGACTCTTCCCTTTTTACATATCTGTTTCAGCAGGCACTTCATCTATTTATATTAATAACGCATGTCCTGGCCCACTTTTGTGGGCTATGTTTTAAATGTCAATTACTTTTCAAAGCCTTTGCCATGCTCTTGTGGTCTGTGCTTGTGTGTTACCCAGAGGCCGGTCCAAAACCCCAGGCAGGATTCCACACCATAGCTGAGCTCTCAAAGCTTTCGCTGTGTTGATCCTGGTCAGTTTTATAAATGGGATGCATCCAGGACTTGATACTCTGATTTAAAACATCCCGTTCTGCTATGGATTTGTGTCCTCTCCCCTTCCCCCCCCCCCCCCCAACCAAATGCACACGTTGACGCCCTAAGCCCTGATGTGCTGATGTTGGGGGATGGGGCCTTTGGGAGGTAATTAGATTTGGGTGAGGTCAGGGGAGTGAGGCCCTGGTGACAGGATTACTGTCCTCGTAAGAAGAGTCCCCAGAGAGCGTTCCCCTTCGTCCTCTGCCGTGTGAGAACACAGTGACAAGGTGGCAATCTGTAAGGCAGGAGAGAGCCCTCACCAGAAACAACGCGGGCACTTTGATGGTGGACGCCCCCCCTCCTCGGGTTCTGTGAGACGGCCCTCCTGGTTACTCCCCCTTTCCTCCGAAGTCCCCACAGCCAGGGTGCTGAGGCCTTGGCATAGGACTTCTTGCTTCTCAGAAGGCATCTGCAGAAGTTCCTGGCTGGGCTTCCCCCCCTCCCCATCTCCCCCATCTTTTGTTGCGAGGTGACCCTCCAGAACCAAGGTGTTGTGGCACTCCCCTGCCGACCCCCTTCAGTGGCTTCCCCGTGACCTTAGGAAAAGCTCCAAGTCTCCCAGCCAGCAAGGCCGTGGGCGCTGATTTCTGCAAACTCAGCTCTCACTACCCTTCTCCTCACCCCTAGTCGAACTCTGCTACAAGTCACCTGGGACCCACCATCCCTGAACTTCACGTTCACCTGGGTCATGTATACTTCACTAGTCTGTTTTTTTCTTTCAACAATTAAATAAAAATTTTTTTTAATGTTTTATTTATTTCTAGGAGATAGAGAGAGAGAGAGACAGCATGAGCAGGGGAGGGTCAGAGAGAGAGGGAGTCACAAACTCTGAAACAGGCTCCAGGCTCTGAGCTGGCAGTCAACACAGAGCCCGACGTGGGGCTCGAACCCACGAACCGTGAGATCATGACCTAAGCGAAAGTCGGACGCTTAACCAACTAAGCCACCCAGGCGCCCCTCTTTCAACAATTTTTTTAATGCTTATTTATTTTTTGAGAGAGAGATAGAATGTGAGCAGGGGAGGGGCCGAGAGAGAAGGAGACACAGAATCTGAAGCAGGCTCCAGGCTCTGAGCTGTCAGCACAGAGCCCGACATGGGGCTCAAACTCACAAACCGTGAGATTATGACCTAAGCCGAAGTAGGACACTTAACTGACCGAGTCACCCAGATGCCCCTTAACTAGCCTGTTAAGAAGCCCTGCTTAGGGGCACTTGTGTGGCTTAGTCTGCTAAGCGGCCGACTCTTGATTTTGGCTCAGGGCTTGATCTCTCAGTTCATGAGTTCGAGCCCCATGTCAGGCCCTGCACTGACATGGTGGAGCCTGCTCGGGATTCTCTCTCTTCCCTGCTTGCTCTCTTTCTCAGAATAAGTAAATAAACTTTAAAAAAGAAATAAAAGAAGTCCTCCCTAGACCAGAAGAATGGGGACCCTGGAGAGTGGGCACCTTTGCCTGGCATGGCTCCCAGGGTGCAAGTCCCCTACACTCCATGGCCTTGACTTTTCTGCCATCTTGGTCAAACTGTAGCCTCCAGGGCCAGCACTTCTGGGTTTCTACACTGTATTCTGGTTGTCCAGCACTGTGCTGGACACATCCTGCCTCACCTTCATTTCCTGCTTCACTCCCCTGCATTTAGACCCCATTGCAGTTCATGAGAACGGCTTTGCTCCTGAGAGCCTCTCCCCTGTAAGCCCTGACTTCTCTTCTTCCTCTACTTAATTCCTATTTTCCTCCTACCCAACAAAAATTCCTCTTTCTCTCATGAACCCAGCTGGAATCCATAGTTTATTTGTCAAAATGAATCACATATTGAATGAGGCACCATAGAGGGAGGAAGGGCTCTGAGCCCTGTTTTCTGGATCATGTGGTTATGGGACCTGGGCAAATACTCCCCCAACACTGCTTAAATCCTGGTGGCTCCCATTGCCATGGTGAGCTTCTGGGCTCCTTGGGGATGTGGACAGAAGCACCTTCTGGCACATGAGGGTCCTTCGAGGATGCAAGTACCATATTTGCTCTGTCCAGAATTGTCCCTGCCTTGCCCTCAGTGTGGCCCGGTAACACTGTGCCTCCAGCCTTCAGATACTTTACAACCCGGTCTCTCGGAGCCCTTGCTCTGGCTGGAAACTGTTGCCAAGGTCCAGTTGCAGTCTGTGCTTCCGGAAGCAGCAACGCTATTCCGGGGACCTGGGAGACTGCCAGGGAGTGATTGTGACATTTCAAATGTATATTGGCAAACACTTCGTTGGGGTGGCCAGACCCACCTTAGCCAGAGAGCAAACCAGTGCATGCGTGTGGAGATGTAAAAGAAAGCAATGAGGGTCGTCTGGCTGGCTCAGCTGAAGAAGCGTGTGACTCTTAATCTTGGGGTTGTGAGTTTGAGCCCCACATTGGTTGTAGAGCTCACTTAGAAAATATAAAAAAATAGTAACAAATAAAATAAGGCAATGAAACACAGGGCGTGCACGTCCGCGGTGGCCAGGCGACCAAGTTTTATTACAATTATCTTGATCTTATCGAACGGTTCAGTAAGCCAATTGAATTCACATGCAGGAGAAACAACATTGGATCAATTTCTGGGCAAACCTTATCTTTATGACTATTTGCAATATTGATCTTCCTGCAGATGGGTACATGTCTCATAAAAAGATAACAAGAGAAAGGATCCCATGAAACTGTTTCTGGGAGAGAGGCGGAACGGCACTACTGGGCGATGTTTATAAAATGTGACCAGGAAGATTCGCACCTTGAGTGGGCTTAGAATTTAAAATACGTAGACTTCAAGATCGGAAGGTAATGCTATGGAAATGAAGTATGGTGCACGGAGCTCTGGTACTAAATAACTTCCTCTTTACAGACACTTGGGGCAATTTTCTGGCCCCCACGTGGAGGAGACTGACTTGGCTAATCATTCCTGCTTGGCGCCCAGGAGGACGTGTGGGTAGATCTGTCCCAGGTGGGGGGCAGTGTGACATCTGTCTGGCATAGCTCAAGGTCTTGGGCATTGCACGGACTTCTCCTGGAGTGGCGACTTCAGTGCTTTGAATCCTCTTGTGTTGACGAAGCGAGACACTCCCGGCCAATGTTGGCCCGCTTTTTGGCCTCATCTGGGCTGTTCTGAAGTCTCAGCTTTGCCTCCAGTCTCTGCCTCCATTCTTCTCTAAGCCTGAAAATAGAAACCGAACATGCAATTGGAGAAGCCATTTCCATGGCTGTTGGCTCAGGGATGCTTCCTTCCCGTTTCTTTCCTCCCCTGAAGCTGTCTGTGCGTCTGGGTGTGTGTTCAGCTTTTAAAAGGTACGCAGAGGAACTTGCAAATTTAAATATATGCATATTTTATATTTTATAGTATATGTTTAGCTCTCACCTCCGTTCAGACTATTCTAATCTTAACCCTTCAAATTTTCCCTTTGAGACGGCGATGCCTTTAGAGTAGGGGTGAGGGGAACCTGTCAGTCTAGAATTGTTCCCTCGGCAAAGTTATCTTTCAAAACCAGATGTGAAGTGAAGGTGTCTTCATGCAGAAGCTGGGGACCTCGTCACCAGCAGCCTGTCCCCACACGACATGTGAAAGGAAATCCATCAAGTGGAGGGAGAATGGTCCCAGATGGAAGTCGGGATCTGTGCAATTAGGTGAAGTGCAACTGCATGGGGGCATATTGCAAATTTTGTCTCACTACTTAAATCTCCTAGGGCGCCTGGGTGGCTCAGTCGGTTAAGCATCCGACTTCGACTCAGGCCATGATCTCGAGGTTCGTGAGTCTGAGCCCCGCATCGGGCTCTGTGCTGACAGCTCAGAGCCTGGAGCTGCTTTGGATTCTGTTCTCCCTCTCTGTCTGCCCCTCCCCTGCTCATGTTGTCTCTCTCTCTCTTTGCTTCTCCCCTACTCATTCGTGTACGCTCTCTCTCTCAAAAGTAAACATTAAAGAAAAAATAAAAAAGAAAGAAAAGATAATAAGTGTCTGAAAGCAAAACTGTCAATGACGTCATGTGGGGTTTATGACGTGAGAGAAACAGTACTTTGCACCGTTGGAGGGGAAGCAGGGGCTGGGCCACTGTGAGGCTCCCACACCCTCCCTGCAGGAGACACAGTGGCCTCGAAGGCACCCGGTGATAGGGCCCTCAAGCAACCCTGACCAAAACACAAAGAGATGGTGTTAAAAAGCCAACAGAGGAGATAAAATGAAATCATAAAATAACATTTAATTATCCTGGAAGAAGGCAGAAAAAAATAAAGGAGAAAAAGCACAGATGAGCAAATAGGAGACAGACAGCAAGCTGGCTGATTTAAGCCCAGTCACACCAATTAAGGTTGGTGATGTAAGCCATCGATTAAAATGCAAAGATGTTGAATTGAATAAAAACTGATATTGAAATAGAGGCTGCCTACAGGAAAATCGCTTTTATTTTATTATTTTATTTTATTTTATTTTGAGAGAGAGAGTGCGTGTGTGTGCATGTGCGTGAGCAAGTGGGAGAGGGGCAGAGAGAGAGGGAGAGAGAGAGAGAATCCCAAGCAGGCTTCCCGCTCAGTGCAGCTTCTTACTTGGGGCTCGATCCCACAACCCTGGGATCATTACCTGAGCCAGAATCAAGAGTTGAACACTTAACCCACTGAGCCCCCCAAGCACTTAGGAAAGTTACTTTTAATATGAAGGTGGCAATAGGTTAAAATCAAAAGGATGGGGAAAACATTGCATCTTAACCCTAATCAAAGAGAGCTGGAGTATAATGTCAGGCAAGGTAGATTTCAGGGCCAAGAACATTCCCAGAGAGAAAGAGGGCCATTTTGCCACAAAGGGCTCAATTTATCAAGAGGACATAACAATCTTAAACATTGTTATGAAAACAGGGCTGCAAAATACACTAAAGGAAGTGAGACAGAGCTGTTAGGAGATAAAGACAAACCTGCAATTACAACTGAAGATTTCAGCACTCACATTTCAGAACAAGAGGTAAGACATCAGTAAGGCTATGGAACTCTGAACAACACTATCAACTGACCTCTCCCCGCTGGTCAAAGGCAGGGACTCTCCAACAGCACTGTCCCCCTAGGGTCCGTGGGAAAAGCCAGAGGGAGAAAATGAAGACACAGGGAGATGTGTGGACTCACCCAGAGACCACAAGGGCTGGGGCCGTTCTCCGGCCTCTCGTCTCTGCCATATTCGATCCTGAACTAAGTGGCCACAAGCGGGAGGGAAGGGAACTAACATTAGGCATGTTTCCTGTTCCAGCCTCAGAACAACCTAATGAGCTGGGCCATCTTCTCCATTTTGTGCCGGGACGAGAGGGAGTAGTGGGTAAGAGCGAGACCCTCCGGAGGGGGCCACCGGGCTCAGAGGGGAAGCCGGGGAGAAGACTGAATACATTCGGGCTCGCCGTCCCGCCAGCCAGAAAGCTTGCTCCCTGCGGTCTTCTGCTAAGTTGCGCAGACGGACCTTGTGCATCTATGTTGTGTGTTAGCAAACTGGAGCCGAGTTGCTCGTCCCTTGGCGTGCCCCTCACTGCATCTTCCTCCACGGCGCCTGATGCCTTCTGTGCACCCCCCCAACCCCGTGGGGGCACGCGTGTGCCCGACCTGCCGAGGGGCCTGGCCTGGGGAAGGAAGACGCCAGGGACCACAGAAGTGACTACGGCCCACCTCAGCCTCTCGGACAATCCCTGGAGGAGACTCCCTAACCGAGGCTCCAGCAGCGAGGTCGGCCCGCGTCCCCTTGCCTGTGGCCGAGCAGCTCTCCCTGTGTGGCAGGGGCTGGGCTCCCCTGTGGGGCTCGGAGGCCCGTTTGGAAGGCAGCGGCGGCCTTAGGTCGGGTGAATTGGTGCCTGTCGTCGGCCCAGCAAGCACGTGCTGCCAGCGGGCAGTCACAGGCCCGCCGTCCGGCCAGCGCTCAGCGGCCCCGTCACCCCTGGCCACAGGCCAGCTGTGCCCTCTGCAAACAGACAGTGGCTGAGCTGTTCCATGAGGGGGCGGAGGACCCAGATGAGCCTGTCCCCTCACTGGCTCCCAAGTGGAGACAGCGCGTGAAGGTGGTGAGCAGCCACTGTCCCCACGGCCATGGCAGCCCTGGTCTGCTCAAGTGAGTCACCGCGCTGCACTGGGCAGACTGGTTTGGCTGCAACAGGGATGCAGGGCAAAGGGGTGACCGCCTCTCAGCCCCCTTGGAGAACCTCGCAGGGCATCCTGTGTCTTCACCCTTACAAGCCCCGAGAATCGGTCACTGTCTCCTTGGCTTGCTTGCTTTTCAAGGACACACTTGCTGACCTGCTTCCCGAATTTAGTGTGACCCTCATGCACTAGAGATGGGACCAGAGGAGAGATTTTTCCATTTCTAAAGATACGAATCAAAGTGTATATATTTGTTAATGAAGAAGAATTTTAAAAATAACTGCCCAGGGGCACACCTGGGGGGCTCAGTAGATTGGGCATCTGACTTTGGCTCAGGTCCATGATCTTACAGTTGGTGGGTTCGAGCCCCACATCAGGATGTGTGCTGTCAGCCCAGAATCTGCTTCAGATTCTGTCTCCCTCCCTCTCTGCCCCTCTCCCAAATCGCATACTCTCTCTCTCTCTCTCTCTTAAAAATAAATAAACATTAAAAAAAAAAGAAAACTTAAAAAAAATAAAATTCCTGCCCATAAGTATAGGTGGTAGGAGGGACATAGGCAGGGAAAATTAAAATAATTATGTTTTCTAAGACGCTCGTCTGGTATCTGGGGAAATAAATTTTGCTTTAAAAAAAATAGAAAATAAATTTTGCTTTAAAAAAATAGAAAAACAAGGGTGGTAATGCTTTGTCCATGTGTGTTCATCATGTGATGGTGGGGAGGTTGCACCTGGAGGCCGTGGATATGGGAATTCTACTTTCTGCTCAATGTTTCTGTGAACCTAAAACTGCCCTAAAAAATAAAGTCTATTTCTTAGGGACGCCTGGGTGGCTCACTCGGTTAAGCATCCGACTTCGGCTCAGGTCATGATCTCATGGTTCATGAGATCCTCTGTTCCCTCTCTCTCTGCCCTTGCCCCATTCATGCTCCTTCTGTCTTCCTCAAAAATAAAAACTTTTTTAAAAAGTCTATTTTTAGAAACGAATTAATAATTTAAAGAAATAGACAAATGAGCCACATACTTTCTCAGGGCACTTTTTCCCAGGCGATACTCCTCGGATTCTCGGTAGTAGGTCTGCTTGCCGATCTCCCGTTCCCAGAAGCGCTTGAGGTCATGGCAGGTATTTCCGCAGAAGATTTCCCGGCGGACGTACTGATTGTTCATCCCCTTGAAAAAGAAGGCATCAGTCGAACCCCCGGGGAACACACTCCCTTAGACTCTGGAGGGAAGAGAATCCAGCCCCTGCCATTTATTTGAGGGGGATCCTGCCCAGCGGCAGAACCTCATGCTGAGAGGTGGGAGGATGATAACATGACCTCATAGCTTGTGATACGGTGATGTGAATACGGAAGCCCCGCGTGGAGCACAGCCTGGCAGATACCCCTGACCTCCCTCTTCCTCCCGGAAAAATGGGCCTTCTCAGCTTTACTGATGCATGGTAATGTGTGCCAGGCATTTGATGCACAGTCTGGTACATTATCAGTGCACGCAGCCCCCCCAACGAGTGGGCATGGCCTTCCTCATTTTGTGGATGAGACGTGTGATCAGTTACAGAACTTACCTATGGCCGCATGACTGTAACTGTCAGAAGGCAGGCTGCGTACTTCTGTATGTTTTCAAGCCCTTTACTAAAGGGGTTTATCACATGAAACGATCCCAGAGTCTGACACACCTGGAGCCGGCAGCTTTGAGGTGTGTGTGTTTGTGTGTGTGCATGCGTGTGTGTGTGCATGTATGCACGTGCACATGCACTTGGTACGGAGTGCTCCAGGTCAGACACTCAAGAGTGCTGGCTGTTTTATGTGAAGAAACTCTGACCAACTCCCAGACCTCAGTGGGTCCAGCGGATTGGTCCGAAGCAGGGACTGGATGGGAGAGGGGTGCGGGGTGAGGAGCAGCGGGCTATTGAAAATGTCTAGGTGGACACAATGACCATGCGCTTAATGGAAAGTGGATGAGTTCACAAAGCATCTTGGGCATGGCCAACCTCATCTGCCAAATGCGGGTGAGGGGGTGTCCGTGGAGACTTCGATGCCTGTGCAAAGATGGGTAACAGCAGAGGAGGGGGGCTCACTGGGGGAGGGGCCTGTCTCGAGCCGTGCTGGGCAGAATTTGAGCTGCCTGGGTGCTAACATCCGGGGGAAGTGTGGGATGGGCATCTGGACCCAGGGCCTGGAACCCAGCCTGCTGCTCTGGACCACAGCTTTCTCATAGAGATGCACTGGGGTGGTGGGGCGGGGTGGAAGGAGAGAGGATCTGAACCCAGACATTGACCCTGGACCTGTTTGTCACACCTTCTGCTTGTCAATAAATTCTCTAGGCCTCAGTTTCCTCATCTTTAAAATTTCTCTGAAGACCTATGGGCACCTGGGTGGCTCAGTTGGTTGAGCATCCAACTTTGGCTCAGGTCATGATCTCACGGTTTGTGGGTTTGAGCCCCATATCCGGCTTCGCACTGACAGCATGGAACCTGTCTCTAATTCTTTGTCCTCCCCCCCCAACTCTCTCTCAAAAGTAAACATTAGGGGCATCTGGGTGGCTTAGTCGGTTAAGCGTCCGACGTTCCGACTTTCGCTTAGGTCATGATCTCGCGGTTCGTGGGTTCGAGCCCCGCGTCAGGCTCTGTGCTGACTGCCAGCTCGGAGCCTGGAGCCTGTTTCGGTCTGTGACTCCCTCTCTCTGACCCTCCCCTGCTCATGCTGTCTCTCTCTCCTAGAAATAATAAATAAAACATTTTTAAAAAAAAGTAAACATTAAAAAAGTAAACAAATAAAATTTCTCTGAAGATCAAAATTTGATCGTGAATGTGAAACTATTTACCAATGTATAAATCTCTGAATAAATACAATTTTATTGCTCATAAACCTTAAATTGCACAGGGCATAATACTATAATTAACAGGGAGTAATAATAACTCCTCCAACTCTCCATAGAGCTGAAAGAATTCCACTTCTCTTTCCTTCTAGATCAGTGGCTATTGACCTTGGCTGCCCATTGGAATCTCTTGGGGAGCTTTACAAAAACCTGACGCCAGGGCTTTATCCCCAGGGCGTCTGATTTCAGCGGCCTGTGGTGTGGCCTGGGCATCGGGGACTTTTCAGGCTTTCCCCCCACCCGCCCACCCCGTGGTTCCAGGGTGCAGCCAAGGTGAAAACTGCCATCTCGAATCCTGTCCTCTCATGCTGTGCTGACATCTCTGTCCAGCGCTGGGTCCAAGGAAGCCGAGGTTATGGGGGCTGGACATAGAGGCCTAAGGAATGTAATGGTCATAGCCAGCTTGCAAAGCAGACACTATGTTCCCATTTTACAGGTGAGAAAGCTGAGGTTCAGAGGTAGCTATCCGACTTTATCAAAGTCACTCAGATGGTAAGTGGGGCAGGTGTCATACTCAGGGCCCAGGCTCCATCCACTGCCCCTAGCTGTTCGCCATGGAGGAGGAAAGTGACTCTCTTACCTCCTGGAAGTGCTCAGTGATCTCGTACTTTCCTGGAAAATAGCAGAGGGCTCACTGACTGCAGTGAGCCCTCGCCTCAGAGCAGAATTTTTCAGAAACAAGGATTTTTCTTGTTTTATTTCAATGTCTTAAAAGGGTGTAGCGGTGCTCAATAAATGCCTGTTGAATGCACGAAATCCCCCCCCCCCCCCCCCCCCCCCCCCCCCCCCCCGCCCCGCCAGTGATCTTTATCCTAAAGGGCCGGCCTGGTAGTGGTTCCTTTGTCGTGCTTCAGGCATCGAGGGGAAGTCTGCAGGGTCGGTGTGAGGGACACTGTCACGTCACCTTTCCCGCCCACTAGCCCGGTGGACCCCGCCAGCGAGTGTGGCTGCAGGACACGTTTCTCAGGGAGGGCAAAGGAAAGAACTCTCTGATCCTGGAAATCATGAGTTCATGTGAAGTTTCTGGCATTCAGGAGAGAGTCAACTTCGGGGCACAAATGCTCATTAGAGGTTTTTTTTCCCACAGAATTTGGAGGGTTTGTTTTTATTCTGAAGGTTTTTTTTTTTTTTTTTAATGTTTAAGAAAATGGAAGCCTGTTGGGGCGCCTGGTGACTCCGTCGGTTAACGGTGAAGCATCCCACTTCAGCTCAGGTCCTGATCTCAAGGTTCATGAGTTCGAACTCCTCATCAGGCTCTGTGCTGACAGCTCAGAGCCTGGAGGCTGCTTGAGATTCTGTGTCTCCGTGTCTCTCTGCTCCTCCCTCATTCATGGTCTATCTCTGTCTCTGTCTCTCTCTCTCTCTCTCAAAACCAGAAAAAGAAAACGGAAGCCTGAGGCTGAAGCCTGAGGCTGAACGCGGACTGTGCACACAGTAGGGACACCTCACGACAGCTCGCTGGGATGCACTCGCTGTGTTTGGGTCCGGAGGCTGCCAGGGCTCCCATGAGCGGAGCCAGGTTCAGAGAATTGCCGAAAACAAGAGAGGTTTGCCAGCAAGCAGATCACATGGAGGTGGAAAGTGCTCAGACTCCAGTCCGATTTAGTCCCCTTTGAGCTGAGCCCCTGGGGCTCCAGGCCAAGGGACTCACCAAGAGCAGAGGAGGTTAAGGCAGAGTCACAGACCCGACAGCGTGGGGCCAGGCCAGCCTCACAGGGCAGAGAACACCTGCGCTGGCCTGTAGGGTAGGGAGCCCATTCGTGCCCGACCCATGAGCTTCAAAACACAGTTTTTAAAAGTTTATTTATTTATTTTGAGAGAGACAGAGAAAGCAAGTGGGGCAGGGGCAGAGAGAAAGGAAGAGAGAATTCCAAGCAGGTTCTGCCCCGTCAGTGAGGAGCGAGATCGTGACCTGAGCCGAAACCAAGAGCTGGACACTTAACCCACCGAGCCGCCTGGGCGCCCCCTTTTTAAAAAATGTTTTAATGTTTTATCAAGACACTTTTTCTTGGACGCTGCTGGCCACAGGAAAGAAGGATTTGGGCCACACGGGGCCTGTTCGCAGCCACGGATGTAATGTGCCCTGTGCCCATCTTACAGATGCATTCCCACCTGTGCTCCGGGCTGGCCTCCCCGACCAGCCGCAAACCCCACCTCGGCCCCCCAGCCCTGCTCAGGCCGCCCCGCACTCTCTAGCTCTCTGCCTTCTTTCACTACAGAGACACTCGGGGTGTCTCCCCTCCTCTCCCTTCCCGAGCTGCAGAGCCGAGCCCGAGCCCGAGCCCGTGCCGGGGCCGCAAAGGACTGACCTGATTTGCAGCTCTTCTGTCCCGGCAGCTCAGACGGGGGGCGGGGCCTGGTCTGGGGGCGGGGCCTCACCGCAAAGGGGTGTGAAGGGCTTTCTAGGGTTCTGGAAATGTTCTGTACCCTGTTTCTAGAGATGTTTGCCCAAACTTATCAAACTGTACACTTAAAGCGGGTGCATGTTATTCACATAGGTGACGCCGAGAAGAAATGTCTTCTGTCTCGGGACTAGGGACTCAGCCCCTTCCTCTGCAGGGCACACACGTGTCTGTGGGCCTGTGTGTTTCGGTTTTCAGGCTTCTAAAATGAAGACAACGACTCTACTTTGCAGAAACGTGACAAGGAAAATATGAATAGTTGGAAAGCCCTTTGGAAACAGAGGGGATTGTCCTTGATAAAGAAACGGCTCAGGGGACCTGGGGGCCTCAGTGAGTTAAGCCTTTGACTCTTGGTTTTGGCTCAGGTCATGATCTCATGGGTTGTGGGATGGAGTCCCGCGTTGGACTCTGCGCTGTCAGCACAGAGCCTCTTTGGGATTCTCTCTCTCACCCTCTCTCTGCCCCTCTTCTGTTTACTCTTTCTCAAAAATAAACAAACTTATGGCTGCCAGGGTGGCTCAGTCAGTTAAGCATCGGACTTCAGCTCAGGTCATGATCTCACCGTTCGTGAGTTCAAGCCCCATGTCCAGCTCTTGTTGACAGCTCAGAGCCTAGAGCCTGCTTCAGATTCTGTGTCTCCCTCTCCCTCGGCACCCTCACTCCTCACTTGCACTCTCTCTCTCAGAAATAAATAAATATTAATTTTTTAAAAAATTTAAAAAATAAACTTTAAAAAACAAGGAAGGAAATGGTTCTATTCTCTGCTTCTCCTCCACCAAGAATACCATCACCAGGGCACTCCCATTGAGAGAACTGGTCACACTACTTCCAGCCAAATGCCACCAACTCGGAAAAGCCATGACTTCAGTGCCACTTACGAACTTTACT